TTACCTATAAACAAAAATGCATCTTTCAATTCTCGTCTTCCAATTTCTATCTTACCCGATGATCCAGAAGAAAGACGAAATCTTGTTATTTATACCACATTGAAGCAATTCAATAATTTATCAATTAAATATAGCAATGAATATAGCGATTATTATGTTAATTCAGGAATATGTCCAGCATGTAATGAAGAGCATAAAGGAGATGGTGTAGAAGGTTGGTGGGGTGATGGAAATTATTGTGGCGAAAAAACGTATCGTCTCTATTGTTGTAAGAAATCCCTTAGTGGAATCCCCATAGTAAATGTGAAAGCGTAAGACAAAAAGAAATTAACTAGATATTAATAATACACGATCGCGTAAAAATGACGAGCCCTTCTTTATTTAATAAAAATTGTTGCCGGAACAACAATACCAATAAAAAATATATCGCTGTTACAGGTGCGAATAAAATAAAAAAAAATTCTATTATCTAACGGGAGGGTAACAATTCTACGATGATATGAACAACATCTTGATTAGGATTCGTAGAAAAATGGTCATAGATATTACTATCCGGATTCATAATTGCGAAGTAGTCCCCAACAGTAGGAAAATATATACGAAGCCGAAAATTAGCATTAGTTAATCCATCTGGTAGGCCAGCCCGAACTTGAGGTATTAAACTTTTTCTAACTTTATCTCCATTAAAAACATTAAATGTACGAGTATAATGTTGATAACCACTAATCGAAAAGTAACAGTTAAGATCAATATTAATGCGGTCGTTATCACCCATTTTGCGTTCCTAAACGTAAAAATACATAATGATAATGAGTAAGTAGTAAGGCCTATAATTTCCCCACACCTAAATAATAAAACCTGCAGAAGCGTAATAAACATTACCTCGAAAATAAAATTTGAATATATAAGCCTTTTTCGATAAAAAAAAAGGTAGGAGCAAATATAATGCTAACTCATCTTAAAGATTAGAACTGCTTATTTATATACCTTTCATTATCTAAACCTAACCACAAAATAGCTGAGAAGAAAGAACCTGCCAGAAAGAAAAATACACGATTAGTAATTATGTTACCCAAATCTAACGCCAGTTTTTCTCCATAAAGCAATTCCGCTCGGCCATAAGTTCCAAATACTGAATATATTTTGTAGTTTTTTTTAGGTAAATTGAACCCTCCTTAGATTCAACGATCGGTACTACGAAGTGAAAAAGTCAACGATCTCGACGATCTGGAATTCCAAATCCCTGTAACATATGAATTTTAACAAAACTACTGATAAAGAACATTATACTCATTACCCTTATAGCCTTTTTAAGACCCATTCTTATCGCGGGATCGTATAAAGTAAGGAAAAGGGTCTAGACATTATTTGTATTATTCGTAATATTCGTTAATAAAAAAATCGACCGTGAGAATTAATTCTGCATGAAAGTAACACCGCATAAAATTTAATGCGGGCCATCTTGATCCCTATGATTAGGGGAACCATCACGGAACGATCACGGAAAATTTTATTAAATTCTTATATACGATCAGGGGAACGATCACGGAATGTCGCAGTTTAATCAGCGGAAGGTAATAATTCATAGATTTACCCGTGATTTGATACCCATGATTAGTACCCGTGGCTCATAAACAGTTGATACGTAGAACGTGGTTGCATTAAAATAGCGCACATATGTATTTAAAATATATCGAACATCCCGCATAATGCTTTCTGTTCCATGTGACTGAACAATCTTAGTAGAATGAGACACGGTTAGGATGTACGTATAACGGTTATTCTAAATTTGTATCGTGTTCTATAATTGTGGTGCCGAATTTAGTAAACATGCAATTGTTTGCTAGTAATTATGAATTATCGTAGTAAAAGTTGTATTCAGGTTAATACACGTGCTATGTTTATTAAACGTCTAATTGTGCTATTAATAGAATACCAAAAATTATAGCTGGAGTGTACAAATATTTATGGTTTGTCTGGTGAACCGCCTCTTAAAAACAAACATATTATTGTTCGCATCAAAATTTATCGTATACGTATAACCTGAATATAGCGAGCCACATAACAATAACCAACTTGAAACATTCCTTGAGTGTTAGGTGCATAAAGCTCAAATAAGTACGTATATAACATCTCTTTTTTCTGAAATTTTTCAGCACGAATGTACCTTAACCATGTTAAAAATCTACCCTTTCCTACGTACATTGGATAGTTTTTGTGTCGATAAGACAGTTGCCAGAACTATTAGTGTGGGTATGTTTAGTCAAGCAAAAAATTTCATTTCTGTTATAGAAGCGATAGGGCCTCTGACTATGCATAGTCTTCTCAGGTGTAGTTATAGCCTTTCGAGGCAGGCCTAGGATCCGACTATTACCTCCCTGCAATTTATTTTTTTCTATGCTTATAAAAACCCAATTTTAGAGGGCGCGATCGTCAAATTATCATTGTTTGCGTAGTA